TACCGGCTAGGACCACAAATTCTACAACGGGCTTCTCACGAGTGCGATCTCGGCGTGGTAGTTTAAGATGACCTCGGTTGTTTGAAGCAGACTGAAAAGGCATCTAACAAAGCAAACCAGTACCTCGGCCCGGCGTTCTTCGCAGAGCCATTGGGAAGTTTGACCCATCAGTCTTCCAAAAATGCTTAGTGCGTACGTTAGGCCGAAAGCGGAATACGCTATTTAAGCATGGCAACCCTGGCTCAGGCACCATATCACCGCGCTCGATACTGCGCAACTTGGGGCAACGAAGAGCGTCACAGGTTTGACCTGCCTCCGCTACCCACTCAGGCTAAAGACTCAACAAATATACAGTGGACGTTATCGGCGTCTAACGGGCGATCTCATAATGGTGTACCAGATCCTGAGAAACCCCAACCACCCATGCCATTCCCTTCTGACACTCAGTCAAACACCCCGCTGAGAGGTCATCACTTTAAGATGGTCACACAGTGCCACCGACTGGGATGTCGGCGAATCCTTTTCTCCCTTCTAGTGTCACAGCCTTGGAACGCCCTCCCGAAACATATAACTGATGCTCCCACCCTATCCCTTTTCAAATAACGTCTTGACGATACTCTGTCACATTTACGCTATGTGCTATAGCCCATGACCACCAGATGCTGGCACTAATGCACAACAGACAGTGGACAGTGTCATAACCCTACTGGAGAATGAGTCACTCCAAACCCCTTGCACACAATTTGATAAATGCTACTACTGTAGAAACTGGATTTCTGTATCCCGTCGACCCGAGATAGCTGCACACGAGTAAGCGTTGTCCTTGCTATTTTTCTACTTTTCTCGCCTATGATGTGATCAATAACCACTCCCCTTATTGCCTTATGTGTGCATATTCTAATTTTAAACTCCCTTTATACGACAGTGCAGTTACATCTGCAAGCGCCTGAACTGACGACTACATTATCCCTTCGCTATCTTTTTTTGTCACGCTAAGCACCCTATGGGACATGTCAAGCACCTGCTTTTTACCCGTTATAAATCATTGTTCATTGTATATTCCGCATAGCATTGATAACTTGGTTGTTTATTGCGTAGAAAATCGCTCCTGTTCACTTCATCTCCTCACGTCTCATTGGAGCTTTCTAGAATCAGTAGTTGTGTAGACTGCATCCGCATTGATAAATACCTAGGTCAGGGACCGATATAAGCAAGTCTCCTAGAAATTTGTTCCCCTGAAATCGTGCACTCGAACATGCGGTTTTGTTGTCGGCATGGTATTGGATGTTTTTTCTTTATATTTGTAGGTTTTTCTGACTCTTTAGCCAACTACGTGGGCTTATTTTGTCGTTATAACTTGTCGAAAGAGTTTGACCGCAGCTCTAGTGGCTCTGTTCCGAAACGGATAGTCTGAAGAGTCCGTGCTCACACATGGTTTAGGATTCCTGTTGGAACATAAATGGTAAGCTAAGTTTCTATTTCAGGCGCAAACTAAAAGATCAAAATTGGGGCGTGGTATTGGGGGTACAGCAACTAACCCGGAAGGTCCTACCCGCTACTTTTGAACGGAGGCTGCGTTTTTTGTCACGGCGAATTGTATTCCCTACTCAATCCACAAATGAATTAAACCCATATTCAAAAAGCCTCAGATGCAGTTGTTATAAACAAGGAATCTACTACCCGTACGAATAATGGATATGCAGCTAAAGCCGGGATGCGCACTTAAAGTCAGTGAGCGATAGGCTGATTGGGAAGAAACATGCTAAGTTACGAGTAGATCAAATCTAAGTTACAAACTGTACAGGGTGTTTTCTTAATCTGGTCCGGAGCCAGGAGCGGCTGCACTCAGGCGTTGACGTACACCGGCACGCTGAACTGCTAACTGTCCAATGGCGCAAATTGCTTTACTGGCAGGGGTGAGATGGGACGCAGGCGACACATGTGTGCCTAAGATCGCAGAGCACATCGAGCGGTTCGGCTGTGAGAACTGCACGTTAGCACAGCCACAGTGAATGCGTCGTGCCTCGACCGCAGGGCAAGACCAAGGCACCGCTCACATTTACGATTCAGAGCCATACTGGGTTATTTAGTGCGCACAGTAAAATGCATCAGGTCTCTGTTTGGTGAAAATAATACTCGTCGCCGGTACGCATCACGAAGTTTCCGTCGTTTCCGAAACCTATGATTACTGGCAACTCAAACAAATGGCTTGCAGATTACGTACAAAACTATGTATGCCCAAACAATTGTAAGATGCTTGGTCGCGCATAGCTGCTATCAATGGAAGCAGTGTCTCTAAGCCAAATGATTCCAGTTAAATGTTTCTACTTTGAAGGGCAATGGCTAAGGGTCTACGCTACAGCGAGGTTATAAACTTGATGGTCTACCTACCTATTGGTATTCAGTTTAATGTCTTGGCTATTGATGCAAGCCGATAATGCTCATGCTTTCAGATCCTAATGGATTCACTCTACTGGCGAGAACCGAATAATGCTAATTACCGACCAGTGCATTCCCGGGCACAGTTCCAGTGCGATCCACTTTGCATGAAAAATCACAATGGCATGAAAACATATCACAATTTGTATTTTACGCTGGAATCAACACTAACATTAGTTAAGCCTATACAGCGTGCATCTTTTTCGACAAGTAGGACGAATTGCAACCACGTAGTCGTTTTCAGTGATCTCATACATTGGGGACTCTTGGTACAAATATAGTCCCAGCCTTCTTCTGCATACACAAATAAGACCGTCTTGGTTGGGGTTTGCGGCTTGAAAGCAGGATTCCGTCACCAAGGCAGAGACGATCTGTGGTTTGTGGAAGAAAAGCCTGAAATGAGTTTCTTGTTTGCCAGGTAACTAGTTTTAAACATATAAATTGCAACTGTGATTTTCTTTACTTAAGTGATCCGTGAGAGGTGCATTGTGCATGATCCAGGTCCAGTTACTCTCACCGATCAAAACAAATCATGTGTTATCTTGTTATCTCAGTGTCCTTTTCGACACAGTCACCGTATTTCCGGATACGTTCCTGCATTTCCAACAAATACCTGTGTGGTTGTTCCGTAAACATAAGAATGTCACCTTTTGAATAATGTCTTCACAGAAATGCCCAGGATGTTTAATCTAATGGGTGATGCGACAATGTTTGGCGTTGAGTACAGCATGTTTACAATCCATATGCTCGAATACAATGGATACATAAAATAGAAAACATACATCATGAGTCCATAGACATGCAAGCTAAATGGAAACATGATTGTAAGCATCGGTGGGATCAATAAAAATGATCCGATTCAGTTATTTTGAGGGTTATCTCAAAGGTAGTTATTTCCTCTATGTTCAGCAAAACATTATGTGCACGCATTGTATACTATCTATATCTAAATATATAGCATATATAGTATTAACTATAATAGATTAACTAGTCCTACAAAGTCTAAGAGCATTTCGGATGTCATCATGTTGGTTGCGTTCACCACATATGTTGGTCATGCATTCCAGTGAGGACGGATGCTAAGCGAGTATAAAAATACTTTATCTACATTCAGACGGGAGCATTGCAACATTAGTTTCAGGTGGTGGCCTCTGTTTTGTTTGTATGGGGCGCTAGAGTCAACAGTGCTGTAACAGGTATGCATGCTTTCAGTAGATTCGGTATGTGAGAGATAAGAATCTCCGTAGAAGTTGGTCCGTATCCTAACTTAGAAACATACCGACTACACGAAGACGCAGTTCTTACAGTAGCACCGGATAGTCCACGCGTTAGCTTTGTCGGCTCTTCTTTGGGGTTGTTCCAATAGACGATGTCTCGTTTTTAACCATGGACACCAGACCTGAATTGCATACTCAACGTGAGGCGAATATAGGAGTTAATCATCAGTGGTACTAAACGTCGCTCAAAGGTGCCGATAGCTCGCCCCCAAAAGTCTCCACGTTTAAGTTCGCCACACTTGCTGCTTTCGAACATTTGAGCGGAATTGTCATGACTCTCTTGCACGAGTAAACCTAAGTCGCGTTCACTAGTCACGTGTTGCATGACGTGTTGCCCCAAAATGTGTGTTGACGAAGCTGCTGCGCACCGTCAGCAGCTGGCACTTTGCAGGGTTAGTGCAAGCTGGTTCTATTCTGCCCATTCGTTAATCCGAGTCAGACCTTCCTGGAGGTAGACACGGTCGGATTGATGATAGGCGCGAACTAAGTCCATTTTGCTGAAGACTGACTTGCCAGCTTAAGCTATGATAAAGTCGTGCATGTGGAGAGTAGGGCGCTTATCCTTCGCTGTCATGCCACGCGGTCGTTTTAAATCAACGCTGTTGCCTTTGTAGACCAACCATTCACACATTTGCTTCGCATCATTGAGCTTACATTTATTCGTCTCCCATATATCAACTGTGAAATGTGTAGACCTATCTTCTGGATTTTCCATTTCTTTGCAAAATCGGATGCACATCTGTTTGTGTCGGATTTCGTTGCTGTATCTTAGCACTGCAATACTCCTTTATCAAACAATTTATGAATTTCTACCCTGGTTCGAAAGGTCTTAGTTGAGTCGACAGAATAAACCAGATACCATTCATCACCAATCTGTTTTTAGTAGCGGCTTCGCATTTCATACTACGTTGCTGATAGCCAAGCATCTAATTGAAGGAGATCTATAACAGGAAGCAAATCGCCACTCTGTGTAACCTTGTCGACAGGGTACCCATGTAACCCGACCTGCGCAGTCCCTTCACCGGCTACTCAGCCCTCACATTACATATTATCCACGCCACTCGTCTAACAACTGTGCGCAAAAAACCCCGGGCACGGGTTGCTGGGGTGCGGGCGGCGCAACAGCGAGCGGGCGGCGTGCCGGACGTTGGCCAAGGGAGCGAGCCACCGGGGGCCAGCGGGCAGAGGGCTTGGCGGGCCGGTGGGGCCAAGCGGCGCCACGACGGCACGCCCGGGGCAGGGGGGGGGGCAGGGGGGCCCGGGTGCCAGCTGTGGCCCGTTCGCATGGGGCGGGGGGCAAACGGGCCGGGAGGCGGCCCTGATGTGGCATGGCGCGGGCAATGGGGGTGGCGGCAGGCCATCGGCGTAGTGCCACTGGGGGTGCGGCGGGGGGCGGGCGGGGCGGGGGGGGGCGGCCGGGCAAAGGGCGGGCCGGGGGTGCGCAGCGGGGGGGGGGGGGGGGGGTTGGGCGCGGAGGGGCGGCCTTGGGGGCAGGGGGGCGGGCGGGCCATGGGCGGGGCGGGGGGCCCGGGGCGGCAGCGGGGGGGCAAGGCAAAACACAGGGGGCATAAAGGGGGGGCCGCCCGGGCTGGGGCAGGGGCACCGGCCCGGGGGCTGCAAGCGGGGCGGGGGCGCGCAACGAGCAGGGGGCTGCGTGGGGGGGGGCGGGCAGGGGGGCAGCAAAGCGCGGGCTGGCAGCGGGCCGCCCAGGAGCGGGGGGCAAATCCGCGGGGGGGGGGGTGGACCAGAGCAAAAGGGGCAGCGGGGTGGTGGGGGGGGCGCCGCGCATGGGCGGCAGGCAAACAGGGGGGGGAGTGGGGCGCGCGCCGCAAGGGGGCTAGGCGCGGGGGAGGGCGCGGGGCACCCGGGGGGCGGGCAGCGGCCCCGGGCGGGGGCGGGCGCGGGGGGCCGGCACCAGCACCACGGACGGGGGGGGGGCAAGGTGTGGTCGGGGGGCGCCAAGGGCAGCAGGGGGGGCAAAGGGCAAGGCAGCAGCAGTCGGGGGTGGCAAGCACCGGGGCGGGGGGGGGAGCGCACAAACGGGACGCGGGGCGCGGCGGCGGGCCGGGGGCGGGGTCCCGCAGGAGCCAAGCAGCTCGGGCAACGGGGCGTGGGGAGGCAAAGGGGGGGGGGGGGTGCGCACCGCGGCAACGCACGGGCGGGCGGCCAGGGGGGGCGCGGTTGCGGCCCCACGGAGGGGGTGCGGGCAAAAACGGAGGGGGCTGTCGGCGTGCCGCGGCGGGGCCAACAACTGGCGTTGGCAGGGCAGCGGGGCAGCGGGCCCGAGGCCGGAGGCTGGTGGAGGGGCCGCAGGGGGGGGCAGCGCGCAAACGACCAGCTTACGTAACATACACTAGCTCACAGTGTCAGTCAACGGCACATCCATGCATTGATGTGCAAATGTTTCAAAAAGAGAGCCGCGAAATCCAAACAGTTCTCAAGACCTTCTCAGGTATTGTAATGCGTTTTCAAACATCCCAATATTCAAGTGCACGCTTAACAGAGTTCAAATTTCGACCGGTTACCAGCCAGATTTGAAAGGCGAAATAACCGCTAATCAAATATTACTTGAGGCGCATATTTGCCGGTGACAATAAAGATACCTCTGATTAAAGCGATGGGGCACAATTCGCTTTACCCGAATCAAGCTAGGCAACACCTCCATTGCCGTTAGTTTCTCCAACTGCGGAAGAACGCAACGCAAAACAGACAGGGCTCTTGGTATTAAGACCACAAAAAGCTGACACGACCAGTAATGTGTTATCAATCAAATTTCACCGATCTTTAACGACTTGTCTTTAATAAGGATGTGGAAGCCGAACACGAGTCTCCTGCACCTGCAAATCAAATGTCTCTGGTTGAATTCAACTCCCTCGGGAATTCAGTTCCATATGCAACGATCGTTGGCCAGGTCACTTGAGATACCATACTTAGAGTCCTCTTTGTTACAGACAACGCTGACGCGAATAAAGTGACGAATAGTTGACAAATATCACATGGAATATAGGCAAGACCAACGATAGAGGACTTTGTAGCCGAAGCGAAAGGTATCTGAAATAGATTTGCACAGATATGGTCCCGTTAGCTTAATCGAAGGTTACGCGTAACCTATGCGCGGTCCCTATTCACGCACGTATTTGGGTGACATGCTGAGCCCTCGAAAACAGATAACGATACGCACACGACAGGGGGAGTAGACGTACGAGACTTAAGCGCACGAGACTTAGGCGCACGAGACTTAGGGGAGACAAGACGAAGCGGACCTCTGGGTTCTTTTACGACCCTCAAATGTCGAATCACAGTTGGCGCGATGCCTCATATTATGGGTGAAATGAATCACGTGGGGCGCGTGGTTTACGGAAGAACATTGTTCAATTTCGCCGAGTCGCGTAGTGACTGGATCCTGCTACCTTGTGGACAGGAATTGAAGGCCGCAGGGTTACTTGACATTCATGCAACAATATCAAACAATGGAGTTGTGTACACAAAATATCCCTGCATCTAGCGCCATCACATTACAAATATGGTCTGACGATCAGGTCTATTGCAACCCATTGTGTATTGATAAATGTAAAAGTCAAACATACAAAACTAATACAAGTTGCTCATCACACGAACGCTGCACTTTATGCAAACCCAAACTTATAAGGGTGAGATTAGAATCCGTCACTTATGTAGTAGCATTTCATTCTCTGCAAAAGACTTGCAAAGACCAAACATAAGATTTGCTGGAGAAGTAAACCCACCGGTAATTACATGTTAACTTCACTTTCCTTTTACTAGAACTTATTTGCAATGGTCCAGGCAAGAAATTGGTCGGATTTTCACATATCAATCAGCAGATAATGCATCAATGCAATCCACCGAACATTTCGGGTTAAAGCAGGAAAGGAACACCTGTCGTCTATGGCGTAGCAAAGTCTAACAACTAAAAGTGCATATCATGCCAAACTCGTAGTTTAGCAGTCCACGTTGAATGCTTTTCTGCCATTGACACAATTATACAGATTCTTACTTTGATGGTATGTGTGTCTGTACTGCTGCCACATTAGAATATAGCACAGACATAAGCGCAAAGACCACGGGTATATAACTAACTGCCTATCAAATAACGCCTGACACACGCATCCCGTTTTCATGAGGAAAGCATTCAAGACAGATGCAAAAGTCATAATTCCCCAATGTGTTTTAATACGCGTGACGCAAAGACAAATAGCGTGAATATTCAACTTACTACAGTAAGTAATTGAAAAGCGCCATGCATGGTAGTCGGTTGCTTGGTGCCCACTGCGAATTTTTGTCTTCTAAGAAGCAAATTAGTGTGCCGCAGCTTTTAAGTTGTATTTGGCACACGTTTTCGACATGCAAATGGCACCATCGGATTACACAACAATTGTCACACCACTGTCTCGGAATAGAATCGAACCGTCATTGAATTAACATGATCTAAGTAAAAGAAAAAGAATGAACTAGTTCCGCTAAACTATGTGGTTAAGCCTATTAACATATCTTTGTTACAATTCAAGACCTAGGAAGCTATAACTTGTTGTTAAATGCAGTATTTGGTTCGTAGCGCAAAACAGATAAACACATCGATCTCTACAGTAGACAAAATGTATTCTATCTAGCCTCAGACACAATGTTTCGAACAATTTACATCATTCCGGTCAATGGTTATTTTGATATTAAGTTAGCCAGCGACGAGACTGGACCTTAACTTGGTGCGATGGTTTGTGTGCCTCAGTGATCCATTGATCTATGCTGCGTGGTGCTTTTTCGCACCTTCAGAGTCACGCGTACCAGATTGGTCAATGGTTAGAGGCCTGACAAACGCAGTCTCCTAGCCCTCCAGGTTGGCGGTTGAAGTGAGGGTGGCTCCTTACTCCATAAAACGGGCTCTCTGTAGTCCATTGCCAAAACACCGCTGTCTTGCGGTATGGTTTTTGAACAAGCGGCTTTGGTTGAGAACCCTAATCATTCTCCTGTCTATGCCTGGGCAACTTGACAGTATTCTGCCCACGCAATACAGTGAGCCTTTCTTCTAACAATTTCTTGATGCTCTGGCCGTCGCAGAGGATAATAAACGGCGCCCTATCTGCTGCATCGAACATGGTGGATAGGGGTTTGGATGCTACTGCTCAGGCCTTCCCGTCTTCTTATCCCCCTTTTTGCACTTTTTCATCCTTATCGTCCCGCTCCAACCTTACTTTTATTCCCCATTTTCAATCTCTCAATTATTGGCCCTCCCCCACCTTACTTCAATAGTCTTTTGTCTTCTAGTTTAAAATCACACACAATCGAAGGGCATCGCTTCAATCCAGTCGACAAGTCCAAGTTGAACCAAGCGGACAAAGTCAGTTCATCCGTTTCCCTTTGGAGTCCTCGTGTCTCGCTAAGACTGGCATGCCCAGTTTGCTATAATTTGGCCAACAGGCAGCATATACCTGCACACTAAAGACCCCATCGATCGAGTTTTGCTGTTTATCATAAACCCGCCTGCGAGATTCCAACTCCGTGCTTAACCAGCGATCCCTCACGTGCGACACTGGCGCCATATTCTCATTGCGCATGTCTGGCGATGATGCTGCTTCAAATGCTGGTCAAGATGACGTCTGCATTATTTAGAGTCCGCGGGCTGAAGCTGCCCTGATCGATTGGATCCCAGTCAACAGTCGGACGTGCACCGTTCGATTAGGTGGGTCGTACCGGACTTCGAATTCGCGCGGGAAGGAACGGTGCCTGTTTGTCATTGCGGCCCATGCCCCTACGAACTGTAGCACTGATTCGGTGAAAGATGTTTTCTAATAGCAACTTCACCATCGCCTTCGTTGCAGAAGAAGCACGGATACTGTGATGTTGACTGGCGATCTAAACGCCCAAGTCGGAAAATTGTCCTCTGATGAGCTTCATCTGGGCGGCCAACATGGTGTAGGCTCCCGTGATGATAACGGTGCGTGATCGCTAAAGCTGTGTGAAGATGTTCTCCTCTTTCTCGCGAGCACAAGATTTCGACACAACACTCACAGAAGCGTGACTTCGTGCCTACCAGCATCGGGCCAGCCATGGACGCAAATCGATCATATCGCGATCAATTACCACTGGAGAGGCTGTGTCCAAAACTACCGCTCGATTTGGAGCACGAGCGTGGACTATGACCATGCAATTGTTTGCGCCAACCTCCTGGTGCGTTTCGGTGGACGTCCGCAACGTCGATGTGAATGAATTAGCAACAGCCAGCTGGCGAAACCAGGTGTTCTGAAAGTGTATCAAGGTGTGCTGACATTCGGGCTGAGTAAGCGCTCATTGAACACTGTCGAAGATCACTGGTCGCATATTCATCAAAGGTTACTATCAGCAGACATGTCTTCATGTCGCAAATCAAATTGCCAACCTAGACAGTGGGTGACTAAATAGCCTCTGGAACGTATGGGTGCTCACTGACGTATTCCGGCTGGAAGCGAATACAATGAGACTCGCAAAATCTCAGAGCAAAACTGCGTGTTAGCCTGAAGAAAGACCGCGAAGCCTTGTGGTCTCATCGTGCCTCCGAGATGGAAACAGCCGCTACCTTTGGTAATCATCGTAAGGTATTTCATCTAGTACTGCAAACAGGCAACAGGAGAATTGGTGTTAGCGAGACCATAAGCGTCGAGAGTGGGCAGCCTGTCAACAATGCTTGGAGCTTTGGGCAGAAGCTTTTGCAAGGCAATATAACCAACCTGAGATATCGCTTTCTCTTTACGGCATTGGGCACCCTTCTCTCTGGGTCGTCTCCTTGGATCCGCCCTCACGCGCAAAAGTCGAACGTGAGATCAGGCTGTTGAAATTGCGTACGGCCACTGTGCCAGATAGAATTTCCAGAGCCCTCTTTAAATTCGGGGGACTTGCTCTAGTAGATCATTTACACGAATTGCTAATGAATTTTTTGGAGCAGGCGACTGTCCCGACTGACTGGAGTCGTTCCGTCCTTATTCTAATTTTCAAGGGAGGCTTCCGTTCGGAATGCGGAAATCATAGAGGGATCAGTCTGGTCTCAATTGCCTCTAGATTGCTTGCCTCTGTCATACTCCTCAGGATGACCGGGAACCTTGAAACCAGATTCGTGAATTGCGAGCCGGATTCCGTTGATGTTGACGATGCGTCGACCACATCTGCAGCTTGCGTCAATTGTTGGACAATGAACAATGAACAATGATTTATCACGAGATAAAAGCAAGTGCTTGACATGTCCCGTAGGATGGTAGCGGTGAATATGATGCAATTAAAATATGTGTGGGTCATCTATCGAACGTCTGCCGAGATGAATACTTTGATAATTAACATCAGTGTGAAATGAAAAAGAAATGTCGCGCGTAAACATTCAGAAAGACACTGGGGCGCAGTGATAGTTGAGGTAAGTAGTGAAAAAATAAAATATGGTCGCTCACTTAGGTCCATTTGATACATTAATCCTGTTGAAAACATGCTTGGCGTAATCCACAACAGAGGAGCTTAGGTAACAAAATGTTGGGAGCTGAGGGCAACATCTAATCGTTTTTTGAAAACATCCAGGGTAGGAGAGGATACTACTGAGTCTGAGAGTGCGTTCCATGGTTTGCAAACTCGAAGGGAAAAGTAATTCCGTCGACACTCTAGACGGCTATATTGTTCCTTCAACTTTAAGCAGTTACCCCTGAGCTGCGTGTTGTGGCTAAGTTTTAGCAAATGGCGGCATACGTGGTTGGGGTCACTCAATATCTGTTACGCTAATATGAGATGGCCGCTCAGAATTTGATAGCGTCCGCTGAAAATTCCCAGCAACTTCGGCCTTCGGTGGTAAGAGTGATACCGCAGGCCCATCACGTTCTTTGTTGCTCTCCGTTGTGGTGCCTCTATCGCTTCTAGGTCGCGTTTCAACCAAGGTTGCCAAGCTTGGATTGCGTACTCAACTTGCGGGCGCACGTAGGAATTGAGCATCATTGCGAAGATTGATGGGTCAAATCTCCCGAATGCCCTTCGCAGCATGCCGACGTGCTGGTTGCCTCTTTTCGCAGCTATCTCAGCCTGTTTTGAACAGTTGAGGTCGCTCTGTACGATCACACCAAGATCACGTTCCTGGGAGCTATTCTGCAATTCCTTTGTCCCAAGTATGTAGGTGTAGTTATGTCTATGGCGTAATTGTACTACGCGACATTTGTCTACGTTGAACGGTAGAGCGTTTTGAACTGACCAGTTCGACACTGTGTTAAGATCGTGCTGGAGCCGTTCATGGTCATCCGGTCCTCTGATCCTTCGCCATATCTTGATATCATCAGCGAAAAATAAGAAATCGGAAGTAATTGATCTCGCCAAATCGTTAATGAACACCAAGAATAGACGAGGTCCAAGAACCGAGCCTTGTGGTACTCCACACGTCACGTCGATTGCATGAGAAAATGATTCTCGGACTCTCACTACTAGTCGTCGTTCTTGTAGAAAATTGCTAATCCAACTCAGGATTGGATCGCCAATGCCGTAGTTCCGAAGCTTCTGAAGGAGAACTCGATGGTCTAAACGATCAAACGCTTTTGAAAAGTCCAGGTAGATGACATCGACTCCAACTCCATCATCAACAGCTTCAGTCCAGCTATTACGTGCAATTAATAGGTTAGTGTTACACGAATGCTTTTGACGAAAGCCATGTTGCTCTGGGGCTATTAAATTGTGGCTTTCCAAATATTGCATCAGCGCGTCTGCGACGATTGATTCCATCACTTTGGATAGTACGGGAAGTTATGTTATTGGACGGTAGTTTGCAGGATCAGTGCGGCTACCTCCTTTATGGATAGGAGTGATGACCAATGGCTTCCATACTGGTGGAATAAGGTTTTCCTCTAGACATCGCTGATAGAAAACAGCCAGTGGTTCTGCTAGATCACTAGCTACTGCCTGTAGAGCCTTTGGACGGATGTTATCAGGTCCGGGAGAACTGTGGATACGCAAGGATAACAACTTCTTCAACACAGCCTCCGTAGTGAAGGTGATGTTTTCTAAACCAGATGGTGGAGTATTAGAAATGAGGTGAATGTTTGGGCTCGACACTTGTTGGAACGTTTGAGAGTAATGAAGCCGTAGGAGATCAGCTGCTTCCATTGCTGACCGCGTGTATCCATCAGCCGTGACTAGCGATGGAACCCCTCGCTTTACCTATCGAAGGCCGTTAATGTGCCTATACAGGAGTTTGTGGTTAGTACAGAATCGCTTCATTAACTTCTGCTGATGCGTGACCTTGTCCTCGCGGATCAGTTTCACACAGAAGTTACGATTTGTCACGTATGCAGTCCAGGTTTCGGCATTCGGGCAACCCTGGTGATTTCGCGATGCCAAATCCCTCCGGGACATACATTCACGTTTTCTGCTCCTCAGAATTGACTTACTCTGGTTTTTGGGTTGGAAGGACTTCTGTTCCGATGCTTGCGCTACCAGTGTGCTCAAAGTCCTTGTAAACATATCCCAGGCCAAATCTGGAGGGCATTCGAATAAGAAAGTCCAAGATGTATCCTTAGCAAGCTTGGACAACACATTGTAGTGCGTGACAGTGTGCACTTTCTCCTCCTCCTTTTCCGGGTACTCGGCATAGCATATATAATCAAAGATTATTGGCGAGCCACCGTTGTCGTGTTTATTGACATGAAATGTGCTTTCGACGAAGTCGATCGATGTGCCCTTTGGGACTGTCTACTGAGGGAAGGTGTACGTGCTAAATACGTATACACTATCAAAGCGCTGTAAGCGCATAGTTCGGGCAAAGTGAGGGTTTATGGCCAACTGTCGCCACCCTTCATTATCACCAGCGGTGTGAAACAAGGTTGCCCGATGTCACCTTTCCTAGTTGACTTTGCAGTTGATGAAGTCTTGGAACCAACATTTGTTGGACACGAACTAAAAGGTTTGGAATTACCAACTGGTGAGCGAATTCTTCTATAGGATTACGCATGCGATATTTGCTACTAATCTGTGACAGCCCTCAAACATGTCAAGCAGCACTGGACCGATTAGCACTGGCTGTCTCGTTTTGGCAGATTCTTTGCTAGATGGAAATGCAAAGTACTTTTCCTAGACTGACAGGGAACCACCCCTGCACTAACGCTTTGTGTTGATCTGCGATATGTCCTTCAGCACTTTAAGTACCTGGACAGCTATATTAGCGCCCGTGGGATAGAAGGTGAGGTTACGAGCCGTATAGCAACAGCTCAAGTTGCTTTTGCCAATCTCCTCAATCTGTGGTGCAGACGCGACATTACTCTCACCATGAAGGGCAGAGTTTAGAACACAGCCGTCCGTTCAACTCTCCTATATGCATGTGTAACCTGGCCCATCAGTTCAACAGACTTGAAGAGGCTCGTCACATTCGACCATCGCTGCCTTCGCAGTTTAGCCCATGTCTGGTGGGAGCACCGCGTGTGTAATGAGCATGTTAGGTGGTGCATATTTGGTGCAGGAAGAGCGAATGAACTGCTCAGCACCATAATGCCCCACACCAGTCTGCGATGGATGGGCCGCGTGTTGCGCATTCCAGCACACTGACTCCCACGACATGCATTGGTTGCGCGCCGGGGGTGCGGTTGGACGAGAAGGAGGGGAGGCCAAGCGATGACTTGGTGGAGAGAAATGAAAACCCTCACTTCGAAGTTGTCGTCGGTTGGTGCATCCCGACTGCCTGGCTATGGTTCATAGGACGATGAACACGTTTGTTTGGACACACTTGCTCAGATGGTTAGGAGCCGAAGCCAGTGGCGTTTGTGCTGTGCGTTCCTTTGTCCATCGCTCTCTTACTTAGCATCCCCCTCCAATTACGATCTCACTCGTTAGGCCTAATATAACTTTTTGCGGCACGGTAGTCGGAACCATGTCCATCTGTCACTGGGGACTCAGCCGGCGTGCCACTGTTTTTCTTCTTCTTGTCTTTTGTATTGCGGCACAATAGCAGAGGTGATTTCCACCTGCAGCTTACATGCATAATGAATGGTTGAATGAACGTCAGTGAGTGCAGCCAATATGAGAAATAAACTCGGCTCGCGCATTTCTCATATACCTCCTCTCTTTTCGGAATTAACCCAGCTAACGTGGTATCAATCGGCTGGTCGGCGTACTCGGCCTGAGCAACAGATTTGTGGAGTCTCTGGTTGATTGGCATTATGCACTGCTTAGTAATCAATGGGCATGCTTCTAGATGTGTCGACTGCCAGAAGCGAAACAGAGTGGGGACGGAGATCATTTTGTGCCGAATGACCATCTTACCGTCTGGCAGAGATACCACGGTAGTTTATCCCGCCATTTCGCGCAGGTCTCCATGCCGCCCATCCTCCGCGTTTGGCAACCTGACATAAACCAGTTCGTTCTCATGGAGCCGTTGATTGACCGCTATCCTGTCATGCTCCGTATTAGACATGGCTACTTTTGCATGAACACGTAACCATAGGTCGGAAAATAACAAGTCTGGCCGTGTACTTGATCTCAGTATAAAATGTTAGTCCACCGAGTCCCTTATTGCTCCTTTCGTCAGATGTTGTGGGATAGCAAAGGAAGAATTCGCCAAAGTTTGAACAATGAACAATGGTTTATCACGGAATAAAAGCAAGTGTCAAACTCGGCCGGAAAGATAAACTGAAGAACCAACAAGGTCTAGTGAAAATGTTATGCTCCAATCCCAAACTACTATACAGACACGTAAACAATTTGCGCCGTGTTAAGCGCGGTATTCCTGCTCTGCACACAGCATGCGGCTTAGCCCAAACCGCACAAGAGGCAGCCAACATCCTTGGACAACAATTTGGCCGTACCTTCCAAAGTGTGCAATCATCATATATCCTACCTAAGCAGATAACGCCGCCATCAGGGCTTAACCACATATCGTTTACCTTCGCAGCTGTGCGGAACTGGCTGATGTCTCTGCGCGAGTTCAGCCCCCTGGGTGCGAACGGCATTCGTCCGAAGGCATTGAAAGTTGCCGCCATGTGTTTGGCGGCACCCCTAGCTATTTCTTTCAACGATGTATTAAAGAGATGTACGTCCTCACGATGTGGAAGCACGGCATCATCACGCGAAGGTACAAAAGTGGCAGTCGTGAAGAACCAGCAAATTATCGCCCGATAACACTACTTCCCGTGATCTCCAAAGTTATGGAGTCCATCGTAGCTGAAGGCTTTGATGGGGTACCTGCAGAACAACAAAACTCTCGTTCCGGTGTAGTGCGGATTTGGCCAAAATCGATCCTGTACCGCTAATCTGTTGATTGCTCGTGCAAGCTGGACGGAATCTGTGGACGCTTGTGAAGGTGTCGACGCGACAAACCTGGATTTCTCAAAGGAATTCAAAGGAATTCACTCCACAACCTACAGAAATATGGAATCGGTGATCCTGTTCTGGGCTGGATAGGAGACTTTCTCGTGCAACGTCACCTGAATATGAGGGTTCGAAGCAACCTATCGGAATCCATCGAAATTCAGTGCGGCGTACCTCAGGGCTCGGTAGTTTGACCCCGCCTGTGCCTGGTTTTCATAAATGATCCCGCAAGTGTGCTATCTTCTAATTGTTTGCTATTTGCTGATGATCTAAAGGTATGGCGTACTATAGCTGCAGTGGAGGACTACGGAGCGTTACAGGAGGACCAGGACAAAGCGTACACATGGTCCATCGAGAACATACTGCATCTCAATATCACCAAGTGCAAAGTTCTCAGCATACGGCACAAGAGTATCCACAAGTACCGCCTAGAACCGCTAATTCTACAGCGGGCTTCTCACCAATGCGATCTCGACGTGTTAGTTCAAGATAACCTCGGTTGTTCGAGGCAGACTGAAAAGGCATCTAACAAAGCAAACCAGTACCTCGGCGTTCTTCGCAGAGCCATTGGGAAGTTTGACCCTTCCGTCTTTCCAAAAATGCTTAGTGTGTATGTGAGGCCGCACGCGGAATACGCTATTCAAGTGTGGCAACCCTGGCTCAGGCATCATATCACCGCGCTCGATACTGCGCAACTTGGGGCAACGAAGCGCGTCAGAGGTTTGACCAGCTTCCCTACCCACTCAGGCTAAAGACTCACAAAATATACAGTGGACGTTATCGGCGTTTAAGGGGCGATTTCATAATGGTGCACCTGATTCTGAGAAACCCCAACCACCCATGTCATTCCCTTCTAATACTCAGTCAAACACCCCGCTAAGAGGTCACCAGTTTAAGCTGATCACACAGTACAGCCGACTGGAATGTCGGCGAAACTTCTTCTCCCTTCGATTGTCACAGCCTTGGAGCGCCCTCCCGGATCATGTAATTAATTATCCCACCCTATGCCTTTTCAAATAACGCCTTGACGATACTCTGTCACAATTACTCTGCGTGCTATATCCTATGACCACCAGATGCTGGCACTAATGCACAACAGACAGTGGACAGTGCCATAAGCCTAATGGAGAATGAGTCACTCCAACCCCCTTGCACACAATTTGATAAATCGTACTACTATAGAAACTGAATTTCGATATCCCGTCAACCCAAGATAGTAGCATACGAGTAAGCGTTGTCCTTGCCATATTTTATCTTTTTCTCGCCTATTACTTGATCAATATCCACTCCCCTTAGTGACTTGTTTGTGCACATTCTAATTTCAAACTCCCGTTATACGGCAGTGCAGTTTAATCTGTAATCGCCCGAACCGACTATTCCATTATCCCTTGATCTTTTATTTCTTACCCTAACCACCCCTCGGGACGTATCAAGCACCTTCTTTTTTACCCGTTATAAATCATTGTTCTTAGTTCATTGACACATCCCGTAGAATGGTTGGGGTGAATACGATGAAATCGAAATATATGTGGGTCATCTACCAAACGTCTGCCGAGATGAATATTTTGGTAAATAACAGCAAAAATTAAAATTTGAGCGTAAACGTTCAGAAATACACTGGGGTGCAGTTGTCGTTGATATAAGCCGTGAGAGAAGTAAAATAGGGTCACTCACTTGGGTCCATTTGCTACATAACTCCTGTAGAAAAGGATGTTTGTCGTAATTCAAAATAGAGAAGTTTAGGTAACAAAATGCTGGGAGCTGAGAGCAACATCTAATCGTTTTCTGAATACATCCAAGATAGGGAAGGATACAACTGAGTCCGGGAGTGGGTTCCAGGGTTGGCAAACCCGAAACGAAAAGTAATTCCGTCGACACTCCAGACGGTTATATTGTTACTTCAATTTCAAGCAGTTACCCCTGAGCTGCGTGTTGTGGCTAAGTTTCAGCAAATGGCGGCGTACGTGGTTAGGGTCACACAATATCTGATACGCTAATATGAGATCCCCGGGCAGCCTTCGATAACGTCCGCTGAAAATTCCCAGCAACTTCAGCCTTCGGTGGTAAGAGTGATGACGCATGCCCTTTACATTCTTTGTTGCTCTTCGTTGTGATGCCTCTAACGCCTCTATGTCGCACTTCAACCAAGATTGCCAAGCTTGGATAGCGTATTCAACATGCTGGCGCACGTAATAATTGTGCATCATTGGGAAGATTAATGGGTCAGATCTCCCGAATGCCATTCACAGCATGCTGACGTGCTAATTGCCTGTTTTCGCAGCTACCTCAGCCTGTTTTAAACAGTTGAGGTCGCTCTGTACGATCACACCAAGATCACGTTCCTAGGATCTGGTGTGCAATCAATTTGTCTCAAGCAAATATGTGCAGTTATGTCTATGGGGTAATTGCACAACGCGGCATTTGTCTACGTTGAATGGTAGGGCATTTCGAACTGACTAGTTTGCCACTGTGCTAAAATCGCACTGGAGCCACTCATGATCGTCCGGTCCTCTGATGCTTCGCTATTTCTTGATATCATCAGCGAAAAATAAGAAATCGGAAGCACTTGAGCTCGCCAAATCCTTAATGAACACCAAGAATAGACGAGGTCCAAGCAGCGAGCCTTGTGGTACTCCACACACCACATCGATGGCATCAGACACTGATTCTCGGACCCTCAACACTAGCCGTCGTCCGCGTAGAAAATGGCTAATCCAACTCAGGTTGCTGATGCCATAGTTCCGAAGCTTTTGAAGTAGAATTCCATGGTCTAAGCGATCAAACGCTTTTGAGAAGTCCAGGTAGATGACACCGGCTGCTGGTCCATCATCAACAGCTTCAGTCCAGCTATTACGTGCAATTAATAGGTTAGTATTACATGAACGCTTTTGACGAAAGCCATGTTACTCCGGGGCTATTAAATAGTGGCATTCCAGCTACTGCATCAGCGCATCTGCGATGGTTGTTTCCATCACTTTGGATAGTACAGGAAGTAGTGTTATTGGACGGTAGTTGATAGGGTCAGTGCGGCTAACTCCTTTGTGGATAGGAGTGATAACCCCTTTCTTCCATACTGGTAGGATATGGTTTTCTCCTAGACATCGCTGAGAGAAAACAGCCAGTAGTTCGACTAAATCATGAGCTACCGCCTGCAGAGCCTTTGGTCGGATGTTGTCGCCTCCAGGAGAACTGTGGATTTGCAAGGATAACAACTTCTTCAACACGTCTTCTGCAGTGGAGGTGAGGTTGTCTAAACCCGACGGTGGAGTAATAGGAACGAGGAGAATATTTGGGCACGTTACCTGCTGGAAAGTTTGGGGGTATTGAAGCCGTAGGAGATCAGCTGCTTCCAGTGCTGATCGCGTGCATCCATCAGCCGTGACTAGTGCTGGAATCCCTGCCTCACCTTTCGAAGTTCGTTAACGTGCCTGTACAGAAGTCTGCGTTTCCTGCAGAATCGCTTCATTACCTCCTGCTGATGCGTGACCTTGTTTTCGAGGATCAGTTTCACACAACACTCACGATGGGCCACG